TGTCAAAGTATATACGTTCATGCGTCATCTGCAATAGACTGCGCCGTCCTACTTTGACTCAGAAGATGTCCGATCTACCCACTGACAGACTCACACCAGAATCACCATTCACATTTTCTGGAATGGATTGTTTTGGACCTTGGTTGATAAAGGAGGGTAGGAAGGAATTAAAGAGATATGGACTTTTATTTACATGCATGGCATCCAGAGCTGTGCATATTGAAACCCTCAACAGCATGAACACAGACTCATTCATCCAGGCATATCGACGTTTCGTAGCCATTAGAGGTCCAGTACGCCAACTGAGATGCGACAGAGGCACAAACTTTGTAGGAGCTGCATCTGAATTTCAGAGAGCCTGGAAGGAAATGGACCATGCCAAGGTCCAGAACATTCTACTGAATGATGGATGTGACTATGTTGAGTTCAAATTCAACGTTCCCTCTGCAAGCCATATGGGGGGAGCGTGGGAAAGACTGATCAGATCCGTTCGCACTGTGCTGGATACGTTGCTGCATCATTCTGGAAGACAACTAGATGACGAGTCTCTACGCACTCTGATGTATGAAGCAGCTGCAATTGTCAACAGCAGACCACTGACGACGGACAATCTGAGTGACCCTATGTATCCTGTACCGCTGACCCCGAATCATCTCTTAACTATGAAGACTTGCATCATTCTTCCTCCCCCGGGATGCTTCCAGCGGGTTGACCTGTATTCCAGGAGACGATGGAGAAGGGTTCAACATCTACTCAATGAATTCTGGAGCCGTTGGAGGAAAGAGTTCCTTCACAACCTGCAAACGAGACAGAAATGGACTGCTCCACAACGAAATCTGAGAGTCGGAGATGTGGTCGTTGTTAAGGATAACAATGCTCCTAGAAACGCATGGCCAATGGGTAGGATTACGGAAACTTATCCCTCGGATGATAAGCATGTTCGTAAGGTTAAGATCGCAATGGGTGAACAGAAACTGAATGCAGTAGGAAAGCGAACTACCCCATGTTCTTACCTTGAGCGTCCGATTCATAAACTAATATTACTTGTCCCACAGGAAGACCAGGAGTAATTCCCGGACAAGGAGCCATAGCGTAACTTTGCGAAGATTATTTTTAATTTCACTCGTTTAAAGGAAATTTATGACCTGAAGTCATGTTTGTATCATATATGGATGAAGATGACATTGAGACATTAAAAAATGATACATGAACTCCTGAATTTATTTGAACTGGACCAAATGAAGGTCTGAACTCAGAGACTAGAGACTCACATTTTCTTTGGGTCTGAACTCAAAGACTAATTTCTTGTACATTTGAGACTGAATTGAGAGACTAGTACTTTTTACTTTGATCTGGGTCTTAATTTAAAGACTAGGGTTTGGTACGATTTGTGTCTGACATCCAAAATTAAGCTATGCGCAATGTTGGGCCTGACTTTAAAAATGGTCCATTTTGCATGAAGGGTCTGTAGGAAAGACTAAGACTAATTTATGCATGATATTGTTTTTTGTCTGGTTTTGAATTACGGTAACTGGAAATTTTTTATTTCAGTTTAGGCTTGACAAGAAGTCTGAAAGTAAAGACTAGAAATGTATTGCTTTGAAGAAACCCTTAGTATGATTTTGATTTCAGAATCAATCGGGAATGCAATTATTTGTCATGGTTTAGAGTTGTAAATTCTTCTGCGCACTGAAGGAGTAGAATTTCTGGATAGTTTGCATTCAGTAAGTTTGTCATACCCGGTCAAGTCAACGGCAAATTATTTATGCAGGTTGATGCTAACTTTTGAGTATTTCAATTTGATTTGAAAGGAGTACCGGTATAGTGTCCAGAAATCAGAAGAATTCAAGTGTTTTGTTTTTTTGGCCTATGAAAATGACAATTGGTCAATAAGTTGTTTTTGTCATTTTCAATGTTCACTTGTGTGTATAAGGAAGTCATAGTTTTTTTCATGACTACAGGGCAATCAGTGAATTTACACCAGTTCGGATCTCTAAGAATTTGTAAATGTGCTTGTGCTCATTTAAAACGGTTTGATAGGAATTTAATACTTACATGTTATTTCTTGATAATTGGTGACATAGATTACATTCCATCTGATATTCCAGACCAGTGGTCAGAACCTTGTTATTTTTACTAAAATGTGAAAATTTACTTGTTGAATGATATTCCATATATTAATTTGCATACTTTGGCTTGATGTAATATCATGCATGTATATAATGTGAAGTACGTACTGTACAACTTTTTGATCTCTGTGGAATTTTTCGGTTAATAACTGGCAAAGAAATACCTATAGAGGGTAAATTAGTTTCAGTTTTTCAACTGATTTAAAGGAGCCATGTAGATGACGTTGACTTGCTCAGAAATTTGTCGCCCTCTAGTGGCAGCTGATTTTTGGTTCGATGGAGCAAGCTGAGTTTGTTTGTTACCGAATGTTTTGATTTGTCAAAAATCGTATTCTGAGGGATATTCAGTTCACAAAAGGGCACAGAGGTCAGTATATTTATATATATGATGTTTGCTTGCAATTAAGTGCTGTTATGTAAAGGATTATGAAGATTAATTTGGATATAAAGCCAAGTCTGGCTGTATGTAGCGATACGTTCATGTACACGTGTAATGTGCGACTGTGTAGGAATTTACGTAGAACGGTAAATTCATTTATGAAATATTGGATAAAGTGAAGAGTAATGACTGATATATATGACTTATGACTGTATGAGACAGGTTTCATTTATCATAGTTATGAAAGTACTTGTATTAGGGTAATTTAGGACAAAGATAAATGAAGTTTACAAGGAAGGGTCTGGAAGGATCTACACTTTCTACTTACATAGAAAGGCATATGTGGGGCAATGAAAAGTCATTATTCTTTCGTCATTGGAGTTGATTCAATTTAGTTAGGCTGTCAAGTTACAAGGAGCCATGGAAGCCTTATAAATTGTATGACATAATGATTATAACGATTGGCAAGGGTTTATAGCCAAGATTATTTTGCGTAGATGATTCTGTGATCGATCGAAGCTGTAATCGATATAAATGCTCATTTCCTTATTTGATAACGTATTGAAGCATTGCAGTTGTGGTTAGATTCATTTGCATATTTACTTATTATGCTTGCAATTTTTGTCTTTGTCATACAGTTTTCACGGAGTTACACGGATGGATACGGAGACGTAAAATAAAGATTGACAACTCCCGTAAAAGCTTGTGTCTGACTGAATTTATTGGGTTTTCGTGATCGACAACAGTTACAATAATAATAATAATAATAATGATAATAATAGAAGGGCATGTTTTTCATGTAACCCTATACACAGACCTGCCAACCTCTGGAATTCAAAAACTGTATTCTGTAATCCCAAAAGTTGTATTTTACTGACAAAAGTTGTATTCTTGAAAATAAACACGGATTGTTACGCGGTTCAATGCCTCTTACAGTTTCTACCTACAGGAAGAATTTTTGTATTGATCATTGGTTGAATATGCATGATTTCGTCATGACTGGCGTGTTCGATGAACCAATGAACATCCCCAAATTGTCAGTGTGAGATGCTTGTAGGATACTTTACAGGACAGAATGGACATTTTGCCATTGAAAATGGCGGACGCACACACAAAATATTAATTTTAAAAAAATTATTAAAAAAAAAAAAAAAAAAAAAAAAAAAAAAAAAATCATTTTTCTTTTTTTTCTTTTTTTTTTTGAAAATCGTATTTTATTAAGGAAAATCGTACTGTCTTATTTGCTTCTAAAAATCGTACTAAATACGACTAAATCGTACTGGTTGGCAGGTCTGTATACATATATATACCAGTGGCTTCATCATTTCTAAGGTTGCAAGACAAAGTAATTGAAAGTGATGACAGATCTTTAATTTATCTGTAATATAATACTGTAAACAAATCATGACATGCAATACAGAGTTACATAGTGTTTTCTGCTTTCAAATTCAATATCTTAAAGCTTTTCTCCATTAAGTTCTCAGAAAAAATAATTGACAAACAAGTCAACGCAAAGCGTAGCATCCCCTCGCAGGGTACAAATGGCCTATATACGTCAGAACAAGTTACCTCCATCGGACTATGCTATTATATTACTAGCAAGGAAGTTAACCACATTTTCACATTAGGTGTTTCTGCATATTTAATGAGCTATGACCTTTCACCTTTGACCTACATACTCAGAAATCGAACTTAGGCTGTACATGTATTTTGAAACCATGTACCTTCATATTAAATTTCATGAAAATTCGTCAAACATTATTCAAGTTATCGAAGGGAAACCATATTCACATATTTAATGAGCTATGACCTTTGACCTACATACTTCAAAATTGAACTTAGGCTGTGTTTTGATACCACAAACCTTCATATCAAATTTCATTAAAATCCGTCAAACTATACTAAAGTTATGGATCGGAAACCAGATTTGCATATTTAATGAGCTATGACCTTTGAACTACATACTCGGAAATTGATCTTAGGCTGTGTTTTGATACCATGTACCTTCATATCAAAGTTTTGGTATGGGGTCATGAATTTGGTTCAAATTAGCATATTGGAAGCATATGCGTTCCTACAATATACATTGATCGTTGTCGCGGGTGAAATCGAGTCTAAAGTTATGAAATTATAAATAATAAACTCTTTATGTTGTATAGCCCCCTCTCAAGGTCAAGATATTAATTTAGCTATGAAACAATGTTTTTTGACTAAAATCGACCTGTTTGGAAATTATGTTCCCAACTACATATTCTGAGATTTTCATGATCGCAGCTACCATTGTACGACCATAGGCGCTATATTCAATTTTTCTCGAAAACAGAAAGGTTTTTTGGGCTAATTTTTTTTAGTGCTTATAATACATCTACAGGGGCATCCAAATATATCAAAATGGTAAAGATTCACTATCCACCCAATTTTCAAAATTTCCCAAAACTTTGTATTACCTTTAAGGGATGTCAGTCACAACTTGGATTAATAATCAGATTTACCTGCTGAATGTCTCTTAATAATCTTATCCCACTCTTCATCAAAATGTCTATACTTTGACTGCATGATACAATGATGCAGGGGAGTTGGACGAAGCACCTCATATCGTAGCTCCGGTAACCTAGGCACATGTTCTGCACCTCTGTTACCAAGCGTGGGGATGGCAATCCTCTTTCCCGTCCTCGCCCTCTCCCTTCTTCGCTCTGCCTTTTCCTCTCTGCGATTACGAACAGCCTCTGGGTTGGATAGAAGATCTTCCTGGTAAGAGCAGTTCTTCCTGGCCCTCCTACAGCTGCTTCCTGCAGGGTTTGACCGATGAACAGCTTTACAGGATGGCTTCCATGTATTTTGAAAACATTCGATAAACTCGCTTCCAATGTTATTCTTGAAGCTGGGTATCTCCCGCTCCACCATGACGACTTGGTAATCACAGTCTTTGTGGAATTCCCTGTCAGCAATGCCCTCAGCAATCATGGCTGGTAACAACCATCTCTTTTTCTTATTTAAAGAGTACAGGACCAGCTCTCTATTAAGACGACCAATTTCTGAGAACACATAAATGAGAGGGGTGATTTTCATTTTCAAAGACTTAATTATATAACGGGTAACAAATTTAGCACTGAAGCTCAGGCAATAGGAGGCGAGTTGGCTCAGTCGGTAAAGCGTCTGCCTGTCGAAGCAAAGATCCCGGGTTCGACTCCCACCCAGGCGTTGTGTGTTAACGTGCCCTTCCCTTCTTCATAGATGCAGGTTATGTCAAGTGGAAAACACTCTGTCCCTCGGATAGGATGTTAAATGGAGCCCCACCGTGTTCAGGAGAGTCACCACCCTTGCACGTTAAGAACCCATTGTACTATTTGTATAAGAGTAGTGTAATGGTCCACCTGCATACCCCAACCAGGCCGAGTATATGGCATCTGCAAGAATCTTCAGTATTGAAGGAGGCAGATTATCTTGAAGAAGAAGAAGAAGAAGAAGAAGAAGAAGAAGAAGAAGAAGAAGAAGAAGAAGAAGAAAAAAAGAAGAAGAAGAAGAAGAAGGAGAGGAAGAAGAATTTCAAGGATGACAAAAGGAAAACCCACAAATTTAATAAACAGGAATAACCTACAAAATTGAAAAGACCCCAGAAATACTACGCACCTGAATTTGACATCAATCCACCATCTTGAACAATCTCCTCAAAATCCATTGAATGGCTGGCATTGAATAATCCATTCTTCACTTTGAGGATGGCATACTGCCCTTTGAAGGCAGACATATTGCCCCAGGTAGCTTGCCTTTGGATGTATCGCAGGGTCTTCCCACTGCGAGTCATGCACTTCTTTCTCCCGAGGCTTGCTGCCATCTTGGCTGATCTTCTGTTGTACTGTGTAATAAAAAAAGAAATATATTATGAAGAGGCCTATAAACTTTAACCCATGATAAGCAAGTTAACCCATTTCCTAAGAAACCCTGGGGAGTGTTTCACAAAGACTAAGATCAACTTTAAGTTGGACTTACATGTAACTATGGCAGGTCGTTCATGCCACCATTTGCTCTCACTATTTACTGGCACTTGTCTCTCAAGGGACGTACAAATCATGGTCACAAATCTACAGAATTTATATTTTTTGATAATTCATTATTGAAGGGAATTTTTTTCTTCTAAAGATCATAATGGTGAGAGCAAATAGTGGCATGAATGGCCTGCCATATCTAAGTTCAACTTTAAGTCGGATCTTATATTTGTGAAACACTCCCCATGCCAGGTGTACCTATGGGATGAGAGAATTCAGTACATTGACTGGAAATACTGAATCTAATGCTATGGTCACATAACCCAAAAGTAGCCTGGTCGGCGGCCGAGCGGCGAGTTTTTAACCAATTCTGTCCGGCGGCTGCCCGGCCACCGAGCGGCGGCCGCCCAGGCACCGCTCGTTTTTAGGGCATCGCTCGGTCGCCGCTGAAGTTTTAGCGCGGAGTTAAAATTTGGGTGGCACCTGCTCACTTTCCAGTCGCCGCCCAAAATACGCTCGGTGCCTGGGCGGTCGCTGACCGGGCACCGACGTAATCGCTGGGCGATGCCTAATTCCAGCAGCGACCGAGCAGGCTACTGATCGGTCGGTCGCTGCTCTGATTTGTGACCATAGCTTTATGTACACTTGACTTGGTAGATTCAGAACAATTAAATCGGGAGGTTAAGTCTGAAAAATGTCTTGACATTTATATTCATAACCCTGCCAATCGTCCCCCCCCCCCCCAAGAATATGAATCACCATTTTTCCAAAGACTTCTTCAAATTATAATTTCAAATGGTTGGAAAGATGGAAAGATATAGATGCCCCAAAACATTGTAGACTCTAAGTCAAAATTGTAATTACTACCGGTACCTCTTTACATTTTGAAAAAATGTGACTCAATGGCCAACCCGCTGTTTGAATCGTTTAAGTCTGAAAAAAATCTTGACATAATGACATTTATGTTAATAAACCTGCCAACCCTCCTCCCTCGCGTTTCGTCCCCCCCCCCCCCTCAAAGAATATGAATCACCCTCTTTTTCCGAAGACTTCTTCAAATTATAATTTCAAATGGTTGGAAAGATGGAAAGATGCCCCAAAACATTGTAGACTCTAAGTCAAAATTGTAATTACTACCTCTTTACATTTCGAAAAAAATGTGACCCAACGGCCAACATACAACCTGCTGTTTGAATCGTTTTCATATACTTAGTAGTACCGTAGTACAAGCTCTGAGCTCCCTGGAGTTAGCTCAGACTAGTCAGAGCTCAGCCTCCGCTCAGAAAGCATTCAATAATTTTCAATAGACTTACATGAAATATGGATGACAGATCCTATGTGCCTCCTTCAACCTTCCAAGCCTTGCACAATCACCGTCTGATTCGACCAATTTACCCAGGCCATTAAATACATGCTTAAAAAACACATCATTATATATAGTTCGTCTGCTCTCGTTACAGGCCATGTTGCAATCATAACACAGTGGGTGCACGTATTAGGCAATGATGTCATTGTTTAGTCTCTACTCGAGAGCTAAAATAATTCAAATCGCCAGTATCAAGCACAAAAACATCTAGCCGGTAAAGTAAAAGCAAGCTATATCACAGGAATGAATAATTACATCTGAAAAGAGACCAAGAAGTCAAAACTAAAACAAAGTCATGCGCTATGAAAAAGTACGTGCTAATCATGTCGTCAAACGAAGATATAAAGGCAATATATAGATGACTCGGCCTTGGTTATCAAGTTTGGATTTTAGGCTGTAGGCGTATTGTAAAGCATTTCTTTATAAAGTGTTGTTTTAATTAGTACTTTAGAATTAGTGTAATGCAATAGAAATGTATTTTCGATCTAGTAAAACAATTAAGTAATATATTGCAATAATGTACAATTCTAAAGAAGTTATATTAGGCCTACTTCTTTCCATCTTTCCAACCATTTGAAATTATAATTGAAGAAGTCTTTGGAAAAAGACAGAAATAACCGTCTGATATGGGTCATTTCTTTAATAAAACTGACATTTGTTGACATTCCCCATATAATCGGAGGTCTAGTGGAGCCAGACGTAGTCTCAGTGGAACAACCGACGATTAGAGAGACTGAAGCTTTCGGTCTAGGTACGCATATGCTTGTTCCCTCTTTTTGAAAGCACCCCCTATCTGAGGACTGCCAACACTTCCGAACCCCCCTTTCGCGGGATTTTCGGGGCTTTTCCTGCCTTGGAGACCCCCCTAAATCCAGAAAAATGCTCAATGTACCCCCTAAATTCGGAATAATTTCTCAGGAGTCCAAAGAGATAAGAGAAAGAAAAAGAAAACACCCCCTTTTTAAAGAAATCTCCGGGTGAAAAGTTAATACACCCCCTTTTTTACAATTCTCGGGCCAGACTTTGTCGCACGTAAAGTAGGGCTACCCTTTTACCGGACATTTTGGTAACACTCATGGGGTCCGTCCGTTCTCGGAACGGGGGGGGGGGGGTGGGCGGGCTTCAGTGCCGATCGGACACATCACAAATCCACCGGGCCTGGATCTTTTATTTCATGTCAGCTATGAATTTCCACGGTTCTAAGACCAATTTGGCCTACCCCTGGACAATCACGTATACCCCGGCAATTATACCAACGGGAAAATTACCCCCAGAGGCGGCCTTCCCAGGGGGGGGGGGGGGGGGGCATGCCCCCCCACTTTTTCAAGCACCCGAAATGTGCCTCTTTGTACATAGGAAAGTGCCCCTTTATCTTTTTTAGAAAGTACCCCTTTTTACATAGGAATAGTGCCCCTTTTACTTTGACAAGAGCCCCTATTTGTAAAAGTGCCCCTTCCCCTTTGCAACTCTGATAAATGCCCTTTTTATTGGGACACGTGCCCCTTTCCTTCGACAAGTTCCCTTTTTCCTTTGCAAGAAGTGTCCATTTCCATTCTCATAAGTGCCCTGTTTAATCTCTAGTAAGTGCCCCTATAGTTAAAGGGACTTTGTAACATTGTTCAGATGAGAGATAGTGGTGCTAAGGCAGTGACTTCAATGCTAGATGTACAATTAAAGATAATCTGAAAATTTGAGCGAACACGGACCATTATTCATGGTACAAATTGGGAAAACTGATCCGATCGATTCCTTAATTCTCCCAACTATATAATAACAATTTAATTACATTTTAGGTGAATGGAATCTCACAAAGCAATAAAATGGCTCTACATTTTATTCCAGACATTTAAGTGTTGACAGATTTTTTATAGCCTGTTTTTATGTTTTTTTTTTCATGGAAAAACGGTTGGTAAAATTCAAAAAATGGTTGGGAGAATTTAGATTCAGAAGCGCCGCACATCGACGCCCGTTCGAAAACCTGTTGAACTTTGTTAAAAATCTTCATATTGCATGAATTAATTTTAAATTTGGGGCATCGTAGTTGGATAATCCCTACATACAAACATAATTTTACGTGTTTTGCATCCTGGTTCAACAGATTTGTGAAATCAACCATCACAATGTTACTAAGTACCTTTAAGTACTAGAAGTGCCTCTTTTCATTTTTGATTTTCAATTATAATTTCAAATGGTTGGAAAGATGCCCCAAAACATTGTAGACTCTAAGTCAAAATTGTAATTACTACCGGTACCTCTTTACATTTTGAAAAAATGTGACTCAATGGCCAACCCGCTGTTTGAATCGTTTAAGTCTGAAAAATGTCTTGACATAATGACATTTATGTTAATAAACCTGCCAACCCTCCTCCCTCGCGTTTCGCCCCCACCCAGAATAAGAATCACGCTTTTTCCAAAGACTTCTTCAATTATAATTTCAAATGGTTGGAAAGATGGAAAGATGCCCCAAAACATTGTAGACTCTAAGTCAAAATTGTAATTACTACCGGTACCTCTTTACATTTTGAAAAAATGTGACTCAATGGCCAACCCGCTGTTTGAATCGTTTAAGTCTGAAAAATGTCTTGACATAATGACATTTATGTTAATAAACCTGCCAACCCTCCTCCCTCGCGTTTCGCCCCCACCCAGAATAAGAATCACGCTTTTTCCAAAGACTTCTTCAATTATAATTTCAAATGGTTGGAAAGATGGAAAGATGCCCCAAAACATTGTAGACTCTAAGTCAAAAATGTAATTACTACCTCTTTACATTTCGAAAAAATGTGACCCAACGGCCAACATACAACCCGCTGTTTGAATCGTTTTCATATACTAGTAAGTACCGTAGTACGAGCTCTGAGCTCTGGAGCTCCGACGCCTTTGGCGTCAGCATCGGAGCTCCCTGGAGTTAGCTCAGAGCTCAGCCTCCACTCAGAAAGCATTCAATAATTTTCAATAGACTTACATGAAATATGGATGACAGATCCTATGTGCCTCCTTCGACCTTCCAAGCCTTGCACAATCACCGTCTGATTCGACCAATTTACCCAGGCCGTTAAATACATGCTTAAAAAACACATTATTATATATTAATCTATATAGTTCGTCTGCTCTCGAGCTCTCGTTACAGGCCATGTTGCAATCATAACACAGTGGGTGCACGTATTAGTCTCTACTCAAGAGCTAAAAAATTCAAATCGCCAGCATCAAGCTCAAAAACGTCTAAACGGTAAAGTAAAAGCAAGCTATATCGCAGGAATGAATAATTACATCTGAAAAGAGACCAAAAAGTCAAAACCAAAACAAAGTCATGCCTATAAATAAAAAAGAGTACATGTTGATCATGTCGTCAAACGAACATATAAAGCAATATATAGAAGACTCGACCTTGGTTAACAAGTTTCGGTTTTAGGCTGTAGGCGTAATTGTAAAGCATTTCTTTATAAAGTGTTGTTTTAATTAGTAGTCTACTTTAGAATTAATTAATGTAATGCAATACAAATGTATTTTCGTATGTGTATTGCAATTAATGTACCATTCTAAAGAAGTTATAGGCCTACTCAGGCGCGTACGCAGGATTTTTTCAAGGGGGGGGGTTTTAACATTTATAAATCGGTCCGAAAATTTCGCAACGACTCAGCCAGCCGCTGAATAAGCGGGGGGGGGGGGGGGGGGGGGGGGGGGGGGGGGGGGGGGGGGGGGGGGGGGCTAAGAGGACACTTTTTTTTTTTTTTTTTTGGTCTCGAAATTTGGAAATTTGACATTTTGCTCCGTTGGGGGGGGGGGTAAGGTCACCTTTTTTAGGTCGGCCATGGGAATAATTTTTTTTTTTTTTTTTTTTTTTAATAATTAAAAAAAAAAAAAAAAAAAAAAAAAAAAAAAATCCAAAAGGGGGGGGGGGGGGGGGGGGGGGGGGGGGGGGGTTTTAGGTTTTTTTTAGGGGGGTTTACACACAAAAAATTTCCAAAGGGGGGGGGTTTAACCCCCAAACCCCCCCCCCCCCCCCTGCGTACGCGCCTGGGCCTACTTCAGTGCCGATCGCACACATCACACATCCACCGGGCCTAGCTGGATCTTTTATTTCATGTCAACCATGAATTTCCACGGTTCTAGGCCAATTAGGCCTACCCCTGGACAATCACGTATACCCCGGCAATTATACCAACGGGACATGCCCCCCCCCCCCACTTTTTCAAGCACCCGAAAAGTGCCCCTTTTTGTACATAGGAAAGTGCCCCTTTATCTTTTTAGGAAGTACCCCTTTTTACATAGGATTTTAGTGCCCCTTTTACTTTGAGAAGAGCCCCTATTTGTAAAAGTGCCCCTTCCCTTTTCAACTCTGATAAGTGCCCTTTTTATTGGGACACCTACGTGCCCATTTCCTTCGACAAGTTCCCATTTTCCTTTGCAAGAAGTGTCCATTTCCATTCTCATAAGTTCCCTGTTTAATCTCTAGTAAGTGCCCCTATATAGTTAGGTACGCCGAAGTGCCTCTTTTCACTTTTGATAAGTGCCCCCGTCACCTCTGATAATTGTCCTATTTAAATCTGAGAGGTGCCTCTTTTACTTTGACAAGTACCCCTTTTCCTTTGTAAGAAGTGCCCCTTCCCCTTTTAATAACCACCCCCATTTCAACTCGGATAAGCGCACCTTATATTTTTCCTAATGAAAAATGCCCATTAAAAAAAGAACACCTTCCCCTTCTCATAAGTGCCCCTTCTCTAGTAAATGACCCTTTTCAGGTACGAGAAGTTACTCCTTTTCACTTCAGATCAGTGCCCCCTCACCTCCGATAAAAGCGCCTTTAAAAGCTGATCGGTGCCCATTTTCTTTCAATTAATTAACATTTTCCTTTTATTATAGGTGTCCCTTTTTCATTCACATAAGTGCCCCCTTTCATATCTGAGCATCGCCCCTTTTAAGGTGTGATAAGTGCCCCCTTTCACCTCTTATAAATGCCCCTATCAAAATCTGATGACTGACTTTTTTTTATCCCTGGTGAGTGCCTCTATTTGAGGGTGTAAGAAGTGCCCCATTTTCACCTCTGATAATTACTCGTTGTACTTTGGCACATGCTCTTTTCTTTCCTGATAAGTGTCCCCTTTTCCCCTCATCATTAAACGCGCCCTAGCTAATTTCAAGCGACTAACAGTAATTTCCCCCAAAGCTAGCTCGCTACGCTCTCACGCATCTATAGATGATAAAAAATTATATTATGTTACTTATCAAAGGTCTTTTCAGTCTTCTGTTATGAGAATGTGCTTATAACCCTATTAGGATTGGGGTTTTTCCTCTTTATAAGATGTATTTTTCGCACTGCCACCTCACACATCTTATTCTTTTTCCTTGCTCGCTTCGCTCGTTCGCAACCAATTATTTTAGACAGTCAAACCCAAGTGCAAAGCATGATGCTTAAACAATATCTTGTAAGGCGTTGAGATTTCCCTTTGTAGGTGCCCTTTTCCCAGAAAGTGCCCTTTTTTCTTGGTGCCCCCCCCCCGCTTTGGAAGTCGCTCGGCCGCCCCTGA